AATAAATATGAAATGTTAGACCAGGCCGACATAAAACAATTATATTATTTAGTATAGATTAAAATACAATGAACGAGAGAGTTGCCAAAAGCTATCCATATTCGTTTTAAAATAAGTTATATATATGTGTGTTTGCTAATATGTATGTATATATGTACATGTGTGTCTTGCTGTTTTGATTTAGTTTTAGTGTGTTTCTGGATAGAGAAGAAATCTGACCTAACCCCTTTTCAGTTATCGCAAGGTCGTTTGCATGCTCTATCATGCCATTAAAAAAGAAAAAAAACGTTTAGAAGCATACACTGGTAAATGTTGGTGAAATCTGTCCCCTCACGTGATTAATTGACGCATGGCAACAGGAAACAGCCAATTGTATTTGTAACCTACGGAGACCTGTGGATAATTTTCCAATTATTTCATTCCATCACATAAAAAGCCACATCATTTTGGACCAATTGGCCTTGAATTTTGTTATTAATAATGGCACTGGATTAGCTCAACAGACCGTTTTACTTTCACATTTAATTTAAACAACGTGACGCTACAAAGGATATGCGACATAGGACAAAGTAAAAAGTAGTAAAAATTACGAACACGCAAATTGCAAAGATACACGCAATAGACTTCTTCAGAAACAACTGGAAAGGGATAGAAAACTTGAGTTTTTTAACCCTCCATCAGCCCTCATCCAATTAGATTATTTAGTGATTTCTTTTATAATGTTTTGTTTCAGCTGATATAACATTTATAATATTTGTGGTATGTAACTTGTAAGGCATGGAAATAACAAATAACACGCTTAGCATTCTTTTTGAGGACTGGTATTATATAAACAAAGTCACATATTTATATATATATATATACATACATTATCACATAAACTTGTGAAGTTGTTTTATTATTTTTCACTCCTATCTATTGTTGACTCCTTTTTATAAAGCTTTTAAGTTTGGAAATTTCGCATACAATTTTTACCACTGACGTACATATCATATTTTATGTAAAATAATATCTATATAGATCTTTTTTGCCTAAAAATGTTAAATCAAGTTGAAATTCTGGGGTTTAATGGCACGAGCATGCAGTAGGCTCAAATGTACGAACTCCCATCAAACAAATAGCTACAATCGACATAAAAGAACAAACAAAAAAATTCAACCAAAATATCATTGTTGAAAAAGATGAATTCTCACAGCAAGAACGTTTAACAACATCGAACAACCTGCGAAAGACATAAAGCAAAGCAATTTCATTTGGAAGAAGTAAAAACTACAAAAGATACAGATGTCGTATAAAAGGGTGCAATAGACATTAGTTTAGTCCTAACCTTTTGCTACAAAAAAAAAAACACAAAAAAAACGTGTTTGATACCCTCCAATAAGCTAGAAGTTTTACTAGTGAGTATACTATCCTTTACTAAGGTATAGGTAATTGCTGTTAAACTCAACAATAGATAATAAAATAAAACTAGAAGTTATGTAAAAACCAAACTGTCTAAAGAAGTTAGAAAACTAACAGAACATAAAACACATTCGCCCATAACAAATAAACAAATAATTTAAGTGTGAATTATCAGACCGTGTAAACTTGTAAATATTTCAAAATCTATAACTGATCTCGCCAACACATAATTGTGACTGGGTGCAAACATAATAAAATAGAAAATAATTGTATTCATCTTGCACATAATTGAGTATCTCTTTCAGAAATATTTGTTTTCTCAAAGAAAAATATTATAAAAAATATGCTAGTTTATACATTGTTTTCAGGGGCTGCCGAAACGCTTATGTTAGAAATAGTGTTTTAATTCATGCATTGTAACATATTAAAATTGTGTTATAATTAATGCTTTATAACGTATTACAATTGTATTTTAATTCATGCTTTATAACGTATTAGATGTGGTGTTTTAATTCATATTTTATAACGTAGTAGACGTCTTAATTCATGTTTTATTATTTAGTTTTCGAGCCATAGTTTGATAACCAAGCTTATTATTGTTGAAATTATTGTGAATGAGTTTATCAACAAATTGATTTTCAGTTAATTACAACTTACTCTTTATCTGTGACAAATCTGTAAAATCTGTAAATTAAGAATGTATATATCATTCAAAGACGGATAATCCAAGCTACAATGCTGCATGTAAATTCGTTGTCTGCAAAACTAACTCAGAAATGGACACAGTGTGCATTACTAAAACTTGGTCTAATAGTTTCTGCAATTTTAAATAGATGGACTTTAGTTATATGTAATACTATGAGATCACCATCAACTGAAAATAAATCATTTGCGTATCTGAAAGTATTCTTTAAATATGTTTGTCTGCATGAAGACAGTTTCTTTAAAAAATTGCCACAACAGGAGATATTTCCATTTTCCATATTTATACCGTAGCTAGCATCCGTAGTAATACTTTTTGATTTGTTTGGTGTATTTTCTATGAACTTTACAGAGCATATTTTAAAGGCAGAATCGTGACAGTAGTTTATAATATCTAACTGTATAATTTCGCCATTATACTTACTATTAAATTTGTTTTTAAAGTCATATTATCAAATAATTATGAAAGAAGGTCTAAGTTATGTAATGTCTAGCATAAAGAGTACTCAAATCAAATGATAGAACAGTTCAAGTATTAGTATGAAGACAAGCATATTGTTTTAGGGATTTCGTATTGTTGTGTAATTTTTGAACAATAGAAGTAAGTAATTTTTTGAGGTGACTTTGATTTGTTTTTATTAAAAATTTAGACAGTAAAGTTTTACCTCATTTTAGCTCTTCCTAAATGTGTCAATAATTTAAATTTCTTTTGAAAGTGCAAGTGTAAATTATTTTGGTAAATTGTAAAAAATGTATTTATCGTTAACAACTAAAGTCACTTTATGAATCTCCCGGAAGCTCAAAATGTAAACATTTGGGGCTGGATCCCCCATAGTGAACACAATACGAATAGCCCATTATGTAAATTTGCGCTAAAATAAACAAACAATATATATATATATACAAGTTTAAAAATTTTATGCTTGTTGTTATTATTATTACCATATACAGTTCATTAAGTAAGTTTAAAAATTTTATGCTTGCTGTTATTATTATTACCATATACAGTTCATTTTCAGAAACTTCTAAGTTTCAAATATTCACGAATTTTTTAATTCTACAATTATTTTTAAACTTAAGACAGGCATAACAATTTCTTTCAAAAAGAAATATTTTAATATCACTGTAATGAAATAAAATTGACTACTAAACGTAATAATATTTTCCAGATATTTTTAGTTTTGTTCGTTATTTTTAAAAAGTTATTTGCAAGTCTGTTCTGTAGTATTCAATAACATTTTAGTCAAACATTAAAAAAAACGACTAACAATTTCTTTTAATTTTTGGAAATATATATATATTACCGTGTTATAAGAACTTTCATTGTTGATATCAACAATGATGTATAAATTATCAATAGTATTGCAACACATTGAAGTATGTAAGTTTAAACAGTAGTTAAAAATCAGCATTTATCAGTATTATTCTATGACAAAATAACAGTGCTGTATAAAAATGGTCTCAGATATTGCCGCCGAACCTCGTGAGAGGTAACTTCGTTAAAGGCAGAAAATATGATTAACAGCGAGGTTACTGAGCTCATGAAACAACGCATTCTAATCTTTATAATAATAATAACAAAAAAGTATATTTAATTAACTATAGGTAAGATTTTAGTTTTGCTCTACGCGTGTATCTTGCTCTGATCGGAAGTTAGTACTAATTGTACAAACGAATTAACTGTGTTGTTAAAAAAAAATCTGTGTTGCAAAATGATTAACAATTCTTAAAATAATTAAAATTTTAGTGTTGGATTACTAATATTATGATCTGAGTATTGTAAAAATGGTTAACATGATTCCAAAATGCAAATACAAATACCAGTCTCTAAACTACTATCAGTGCTAAGGTTTGCATTGTCCATTTGAACAATACAGAACGATATTCCTCGTTTTTTCCTTTTTCTCTTAAAAATGTCAGTCTTCAGAATAGGAACATCCAAAACGGCTGGCCACAATATCACTTCATATAGCCGAAATCATTTGTAATTCTTAAACAATAGATGTACAAAGTTACTGGATGAGTGGCAAGTGCAAATTACGTAAGAATTATAAACGTGTCAAAGTGTAAATTCACTAAAGCAATATCTTTCATTTAATGTGCAAATATTTAAGTAGGATGTTTTCAATGCTTTCTAAAATGCCCCCTTACGAGCAACATAAATCACGTTTGTTGTTATCATCTTAGTTGTAATCTCAAATATGTTAGTGCTAATTTCTGCTCTAAACATAGAACCCTTCATAACAACATATGAAAAAATGTTTACCTAGAAACATGTGACGTTGAGAAGTTTCCAAGTACTGAGATTGCATCCCATGATTTTATGCTACAAAATCAAAATGTTTACCTAGAAACATGTGACGTTGAGAAGTTTCCAAGTACTGAGATTGCATCCCATGATTTTATGCTACAAAATCAAAATGTTTACCTAGAAACATGTGACGTTGAGAAGTTTCCAAGTACTGAGATTGCATCCCATGATTTTATGCTACAAAATCAAAATGTTTACCTAGAAACATGTAGACGTTTGAGAAGTTTCCAAGTACTGAGATTGCATCCCATTGATTTTATACTACAAAATTCAAAATGTTACCTAGTAACATTGTAGTACGTTTAGAA